GCACTCACACAACCATTCTCAGAAGAATTTTAGCGATTTTATTGGTTGATTTTTTATAATTTATTTTTTGATTTATTACCATCGACACTACTAAAAAGGAAATCCATTTAAATACTTACCTTTTGTGTTTTCTCGATTCAAAGAACATCCTTTTGCGATCCTTTCTCTGTTTAATTCATTAAATAGGCATTAAATATTTTAGATGTCAGAGAAACAAAATTAATAGTGTGTAATAGATGACAGGGAATAAACCGCCTCGGTAACATTAACTATAGTATTATGTAAATCTATACCCCAACATTCCTAAAACTAAACCATAACAATAGGGGAACTGTTTGCCACCAAAACCCGAAAAATCCAACCCCTACCTGAATTTTTAATATCATTTACAGATTAGTAAAATCGCAAAAATTCTATCAACAATATTTTTGATAATATCTTATTTTTATAGTATATTCTAAAAATTCAGATTTAAATTAGAAAACATTTAATAAATAATTATTTTTAATGTTTTTGACTAACAACTCACGGACACTTTAAAATTTGATTCCGATGATATATTCTAAATTCGTTACGAGCTGTTTAGCTATCTGATTTTATGCATAAAAGTAATATCTGACTATTATTTAAAATCCTTAAGAATGCATTAAATCGTTTAGCTTGGCCATGAAGAATCTCTATATAATAACTACTCAAAAATATTGTTTCTTTAAATCGTAGATATTATAAAGATTTCTGTACCAAACGAATTGTAAATATTGCTAAGATATGTAAATTTTCGTTAGNGTTTTGAGTGGATCACTCAACCCAAATTTTCTCATTCGTAATTTTTACATCAATGTATTTTATTATATTTTCAATAACTGAAACGCTAATTTTTAATTTTTTTTTGCAGATGTGATTGGTCAGGTTATGGACTTGGGAGTGCTTGAAACTATCCAAGTCGCAGTGAAGTTTACACCTCGCGACATCAAGTAATTTTTTTTTATCTCACGTTTATTATTTTGAGTGATCCTTCAAGTTCATAATAATTCAATACTTATTCTACTTTTAATAATAGTGACTCTCGTGTTTCCTGCTGTGTGAGATCCTCTATGAGGATTGAAGTAAAGAAGAAGAAAGAAAAGCCATATACCTAATCAGGTTTGTAAGGATCGGGAGATTTAGAGGTATAAACTTTTCTTATCTATTAAATTAAAAAAAAAAATTAATAGATAATATTATTTTCAAGTGGATGTTAATTGTATTATAATATACTTACCTATATATTCGCTGCAGGTGAACTCCAAATCACCAATGCATTTGAGGCATCACAGCTCTTGATTAATCCTGCAATTTCAGAGACTGATGCCTTCAACAAATGTGATGTTTCATTCATCTTTAAGATTTTATCTTCNTTCGCTGCAGGTGAACTCCAAATCACCAATGCATTTGAGGCATCACAGCTCTTGATTAATCCTGCAATTTCAGAGACTGATGCCTTCAACAAATGTGATGTTTCATTCATCTTTAAGATTTTATCTTCGGTCTATATAGGTATTTTCTTGAACATGATTTCATTATGTTGTTTATACACATATTAATAAACTAATCATGATGTATTTATATGGAAATTAGGATTTATAATAACGTGAAAGAAGACAAATTGATTGATCTCACTGGTGAAGGAGGCTGCATGGTTTTAGGTATTCCTTTGTATACCACGGTGGAGAGGGCCGTTCAGATTTATAGGAGTAGACTTCACAGAGTTCCTGTATATCGTCAGATTGAGCAGGAAGTGGATAAGTTGAAGAATCAGGGTCTTAATACTAAGGAGGATGTTTGCTTGTGGAAGCTGGATAATGGGGAGTTTGATCAGAAATTTCTCACGGCTAAAACCTGGAATTTGATCAGAGCTCGAGCTCCTGTTGTTAATTGGTGTAAAGGTGTTTGGATTAAGGAAGCCACTCCGAAATTCGCCTTTATTACTTGGCTTACTATTCGTAATAGGCTTGCTACTGGAGATAGAATTCTTAAATGGAATTCTCTTGCTATTACTACCTGCTGGCTTTGTAAGGAGGAGATGGAATCTCGTGACCATATTTTTTTCGAATGCAGATACTCTACAGAAGTTTGGAAAGGAATCATTGGTAATCTGGCTGGAAATGATAACATCTATAAATGGGATCATATTCTTCGTATTGTGGTTAATGGATCACATGATAAACATATTTCTTTTCTCTTGAGATATTGTTTTCAAGCTGTGATATATGCTCTCTGGTTTGAAAGAAATGTGAGAAGAGTTGGAGAACCCGCGCAAACGGTTACTTGTTTCATTACTAGACTGGAGAGAATTGTGAGAAATAGAGTGACCTCCCTTCAGAGGAAGAACAAGAGAAAATATGAGAAGGCGATGCAGACTTGGTTTGAGAGATAATTGTGTCTCGTGCGGTGATTCGGTTTGTGTGGCTTGTATGCTCTTTGCGCTGACAGTTCTTTTCTCTGTTCTGGATTTTGTTGAGTGCTAGGCTGCTTGTGACTGGTGGTAGCTTTAGGTAGTGGCTGTTGTTTGGTTTTCTCTGGCTATTTTGGGCTTTCGTGGATGTTGGTTCGTGGATGGGTTGGCTGTCGGTTTTGTTTGGCGTCTTGGGCTGCTCTGCTGTTTAGAATTGGTCTTCTTGCTGTTCTTTCCTATTACACTCCTCTGATCACATTTCTAATTACTCTTTCCTCATCAAAGGTTTGTCCCAATAGGGTTTACTTTGATGAGGTTTTAATGAGGATTAGGCTGTGATCCTTCCACAAGTGACTTGTTCCATATGGTCTTTGTGAGGAGGAGTGTTGTATTGGGAAAGCTGGTTGTTTTTTGTTTTCTTCTTGGCTTTTTGCTCTATTCCAAAGTATGTTTTTTTATTCTTCTGATTTTGATGCACTTAGTGTAACAATGTTTTTTTTGATCTGAATAAATTTAAAATTCTTTCAAAAAAAAAAAAAAAAAAAAAAAAAAGAAAGAAGACAAAGTATCTGGAAATAACTTATCTTTTATTTTAAATTCATGTTCTCTTTATAGAATAATGAAATCAATAATCTTCGTATTTTGAATATTAATATTTTCTCTGAGGGTATATTATTCCTGAAAGGAAAAAAAAATTCACCATTTTTAAGACACTTAAACACAGATACTAGAGCTGTAATTAATAACTTTAACAGTAAATAGAAAATGTCAAAAGAATCTTAGGCTTTCTTGCCACTGTTATTTGGTTTTTGTTATTCAGATTTTTTTTTGAATCAATTTTACAACAATTAGATTTTTATTAACTATGGATCAAAAAGAAAGATGCGAAATCAGATTTACCTTTTTGTGGTCTTTCAAATCTTCTTAGGAATTTGTCAAAGAGACCTGAAAATGTGAAGTTCTTCAACCATCTCAAACTCATCGTGTTTTTCACGGATGCCTTCAGATCCAACATGCATAACAAGTTAAAAAAAAAAAACAAGTAAGATTTTCTTTTTAGATTTTTATATCTGCTAAAAGAAAAAATAGAGAAAATCACCTAAATAGATTGAAAAAGGTGAAGTACTTTGATTTCTGCCATCGATTTGCACCTCTTCAAGCAGTCGTTTCCATCTTTACCACCACAAGTAAGCCGCGGCCGTTCGTATCATGAGTGCTCTAGCTTCGATTAAAGTTTGGCATGGAAATCGTCTTTCGATAAAGAAACATCGATACATAAAATTTTGTACTTTCCTTTTCTGTTTTTTTTTAAAAAAAAAAGTGATTGGTCATCGACCACACAATTTTGTCATCGGTTCAGATGTTTTTACTTGGGCCATTCGGTCCGGGATTAGTATCTTTTGTATTTCAAGTTCTTATTTCTATGTGCAATTCGGGCCCATTATAAATATTATGTTTGTATTAACAAACATGATTAAACATATGATTATTAGTTTTTATTTTTTAAATCTATGTTTAGACATTCCTAAAATATCTTAATATCATAATGAAACACGTAAATATTTATTTAGAGCTTAGTACAAATGTATGTTAACAAAAAAAATTGTTTATAAAATAACTTTAGCATAATAGAGAATATGTATTTATGCATAATAATATTTTTCACCTAAAATAAATAATTACAACACATATACAATACAATTCTAATTAGTGATAATAGAAAATATGTTACTTATAAAAAACTATATACTATTAATTTCAGATTTGGAAAATAAAATTCAACCTTCAACACACAAATTTTTTTGTGATTCTTCAATTATAAATACACACAATAACTACATATTGATACTGAAGTTACTTTGTTCCATCTCCTCTATGTAAAATATTGTGTACCAGCATTTTTTTGTGTCTGATGCTTTACCTCAAAGACGGTAGTCTTATGATATAAAATCTATTACTTCTAAAACTTTGTATTATTAAGTCTATAATTTGAATCTGTATATACCCGCACAGGGTGCGGGCCGGTCACCTTGTAGGTAGTAACTAATCGTTATGTAGAAGCCTAGCGACTAGGTAAATTATTCGGGAGAGATGGTTCATGTGTTAACGAATTATTCATTTATTTTATATATAGTTTACATTATATAAGATTATTTAGTTTTTGGTTTTAATTATAATTTTTTTTGATGAATTATCAAAATTATTATATATATAAAACAAAAGAATTTATAAAAAAGTTGTGAATTTATACTAACATAATTTATTAGTTTAACAGAACTATAGACTAATTTAGGAAAATACGGGAACAACTTTAGAGCACCCCCATTAAAGGTTCAATGAGGGGGTTACACAAAAACCAAGAAAAAAAATATATATAATATTGTCAAATTATTGAACCTGAGTCGTGGGGAGTCTTCTGCAAGGGGCGAGGTCATCACTGTTCTGCGGGCCTCACGCTACGTAACGGCCCGCGAATAGTCCCATTTTTTTTTTTTAAAGAAAAAGTTAAAAATAAAAAATAAAATAAAAAACTGAAAATGCCACTTGGCGTTGATAATGGTGCTCTTAGTACTGTGAAAATTTAAATACAAAGCATTACAAGTGACTTCATCGTTATTCCAGATGAATGTGGTGATACTTCTGAGTGTCTCCATAACAACATTAAAACTTGAGCATAATAATATTAACTGCTAGATGATTCATAATCAATCACAGAACCCCGAACTCGTCGTTGCCCATGTCCTAACACTTGTGATGGTGGTTCATATAACACCGGAACATTCTGTGGTATGCGCATCTCCGGTGAGTGTCCAGAGATGCACATCGATCCCGAACCATCTTGTTGCCAATACACTTCCACCATCATTCCTCGAGGATTCTCTGCGTTTTCAGTTCCTGGTATACCTACAAATCTTGCTCCCACAGGTATCTGTATAAACAGTTTGTATCCATTAATAACTATAACATGTGACCTTAATATTTACACCAAAAACAAAAACAAAAAAACTACAACATGTGAAATGCGATTTTTTTTGTTGTAGATTATTTACCTCGACCAAGATGCCTGATTCTAACTCGAGAGTAACCACGGTTCCTTCAGCGGTTGCACTTTCTAGTTCAGCCTGTCTTGCAATGTTCAGAAACACTTCTTCAAGAGTTGCAAGCCCAAGCTGTATGTCCGAGATTCCAAACTCAGATTCTCTGTATTGTAGCTCTTCGAAAAAACCCTATCCGTAGAGATACAATAATGAACATCATATATAGATATAATATATAGTTGAAAATTTATGAGATTAATAGAGCTTTTGTACCGCCAAAAGTTTCTCTTTGTCATGGGGGATAACAAAAGTCATGTAAGCATTTTTCTCTTCTGTTGGCTCAACTTTCAGATGCTGCAAAACATTGTTCCAATACTTAAACAATAGCCAGTAAAAAAAAAACTCTAGCCTAAATGTACATACCTGCTTGAAGAATCTTTTAAGTGGTTCTGATGAGATTCCAGCATCGTCATTTTTGTTTTCCAGGAAGCTAACCGTTGTAATGAAACCAGTGCCGAAGCGAGATTTTAACCTGATGGAAGTTCCAATGCAACGGAGCCTGCCTTTAGCCATGATCCCTATTCTATCACCTAAAATATCTGCTTCTTCCATAGAATGTGTTGTCAGTATAATGGCACGGCCTTTCTTTGATTCTTGTATAATGTCCCACACATGTCTCCTTGTGATAGGGTCCATACCAGTAGTCTACAATCCAAAAATATGTTTTAGTGTGTGTGTGTGTGTGTGTGTTCAAGTTGCAAAACAAACTATAAAGTTGCATGGCATAACATACCGGTTCATCTAGGAAGACCAGCTTGGGATCACCAATGAGTGCAATTGCAACACTGAGTCTGCGTTTCATTCCACCACTGTAACTTCCTGCTCTAAATTTAGCTGCTCCTGTTAGCTTTACATCCGCAAGTAACTTCTCTGTAATCTGTTTAACCAGAAAGAAAATTTTGCAAGCAATGTAAGGTATGCTTAGCCAGAGGTTCAAATCAGATACCATTTTGTAAAATACATGAAATAACGTACCGGTTTGATAGATGCAGGTGGCAACCCTTTGATGCTAGCAAAGAGGTGTAGGTGTTCTTCACTTGATAAAGCATCCCAAAGAATATCAAACTGTAAAAAAAAAAGAGTGATGACGAAATTAAATCATTAAAGCAGAATGTAAGGAAAAGAGAGGACAATGCAGGGAGAGGTTGAATTTACCTGAGGACACACTCCAATCATTTTACGAATGTTGGACATACCAACAGAGTTTCTTATGGAATCTCCATATATAAGAGCTGTTTTAAGTCAAATTAAATTGAACTTATTAGAATGTTTAGGGAACTAGCTTCAGCTGTCAAGCAGATACTTACCGTCCCCACCAGTAACTGGATTTATACCAGTCAAACAGCTGATAGTAGTTGTCTTCCCTGCACCATTGGGTCCAAGAAGACAAAACAACTGGTCTTTGGCTATATTCATCCACAAACCCTAAAACATGTTTCATGTTAAGAGGAGAAACCATTATGGGATAAAAGTAATGAGCATTAGGATTTGTTGAATAGTCTTGGTTCCTTAAGAACACATACCAACTTTTCCTCAGCAAGAATGATTTTATTACCTTGACAGCATGAAAAGGAGATGTTTTGGTGCATTTGCAACAACCAAGCTTTGCAGTTCCAGGATATGTCTTTGCAAGGCCATGAATCTGAACTGCAATGTTAGGATCAACTATTCCACCACTTGCTTGTTGTCTAACTAGTGTCTCCTCTTCAAGCACATCTTGGTCCTCTGGGGTTAAATTCTCTACAGGTGGAACTGAGCCAATGCAGCTACAAATGCTCCCTTCTGAAAAATAAATAGTGTATATAAGAACATGTTTTGGCTTAACACTTATCCAACACACAATCTTTTTTATAAAAGTAAAATTACCTTCCACTTTGTTGCCCTCTTTGCCAGTCCAATAACTAGGTTTTAGAAAGTAGAAGATTGTTTTTCTTACACCAGAGGCATTGGGGATGATATTGTCAAAATAGATAGCTAGAACAAACCAGAAAAAGAATGTCCCCACAAGCCATATGTAGATTTTATTCTGCCCAAAAACTCAAATGAGAGATATACACAACAACAACAACAACAAGAAGGTGAAATCTATTCTTGAAAAATTTGACATACCATTGTAAGAAAGCAGTTGGCATCATCCACTGAGCATACATCTCTTTTACTCCAACTAATTCCAAGGCTTCCGGGAACTGATGTCGCTTCAATAAGCAGCTGCAGACCCGCAGAAAAGGTATTGGGTGGAAAGAATGACCAAATCACTCGGCGAGCAAGAGAATGTGTGCTTGTATAAGGGAATCCACCCGTAGATACAGTCTGCAGTCAGAACTATAACCAGTAAGAATCCAACAAAGTCTCAGCTACTGTTTTAGCTAAAGAGAGGGTCACACACACACACCTGTGTGATAAAGCCAATGAGAAACACAAGGAAACCAACAGTTGTTGCTGAAGATGATTTGCTAATGAAAGATGATAGCAGGAACGCAAGGCTAATCTAGCAACACAAAGAATATACATTATATATAAGTTAAGTGATATCCCAGCAAAATCAGGGAAATAGAATTAGGAATAATGAGAATCTTTAATTACCATATTAAATTGAAAAAACAAGAAGAGTAAGAAGACAACAAAGAAACTGTTCTTCAAGAAAAAATCGAATTGGAAGATCATTCCAAATAGGACTAAGAAGAGTGATGATACAAATGTAAGGATGCCTTCCCATATAAGCCATGATAACCAGTAAGCTGTATCAAAAACTCCCATCATTGTCATTGCCTGTTGGAAAACAAAAAACATGATTTAAACAAAATCTAATATAAATATAGAAAATGGAAACACTCTAAGTTAAACAGAGTATTAAACCTGGCGAAGTTTAAGCTCTTTCTCTGTAGCAAGAGAACCGAGTTGGAGAACAAAACCAAACATGGAGAAAGCAAGAAAGAACACTGGTCCCATAAGATTCAGTGGAGAGATAGTTACTTCTTTACCAACAGCTGGTCTTGCAAACTCTTTAAATCCAAAACTCCAACCAAACTTTGGATCTGATAATATGCAAAACACTCTCTCCATGTCACAATCTAATAAGAAGCAGCAGATCAAAAGATTTTTTCAAGATAGATGGTATTATACCTCCTATTAAGGACCTTGCGATCTCACGCTCTGCAGCGATTTGAAGAGGGACAAGAAACTTAAACGTTGGATCTTCAGTCCGACCACGTTTTGTCGCTGAAGAAGAGTTTGTCTGAACTCCATAGCTGATCACTGTAGCGTTCCTTTCCGTAAAATGCAAAGCCCCTGGCGCATGCAAAGGATGTGACGTAAACCATGCATCTACCTCCTCAGGCCCTTTGAATGACTGAACCTGAACCCAAAAAAAAAAAACACAAGTCAAACATTTCAGAACCAATAAGTTAAAACTAAAAAAACCAATATGGACACAGCCGTATGAAACATTCGACCCCTAAAAATTTCGAAAAAAATTATATGTATATAGGCCTCAGACAAACTTTATTATTAGTTAGAAAAATTTTTTAACTGAACTTTTTAAAAATTCGTGTAGGACCCCCAAAATCTCAGGGCCGGCCCTGGCTCAGATCAGGGGTCTATAAGAACATAACCTTGTTGGTCGGAATAGGTCTTCCTGGATTATTAGCCATAATAGCAGAGACAATATGAGTCACACGAGGGCTCTGGTTCCCACTCCACACGAAGTCGTAGCATGGAAGCTTCACGTAGAATTTATCCTCACAAGGAGGGATAGGAGGCGAAGCTAATGCCTTAGGATCTATGACATTTACGTGAGCTGATGAGCTTACGTCGCTGGCCTTCATCGTTTCTTGGATACAGAAGATGAGAAAGATGAAGAAGAACGAAGAGAAGAGATGGAGACACGTGGCGCTCTTGTTTCGCCATGAGAGCAGTAGATTCTTTTTGAACAACGCCGTGAACTGCTGATACAGAAGTGGTAAGCCTTCTCTCAGAGTCATTGATCAGAGGAAGAAGATGATAGGACTTTTTTTTTCTCTTCTTTTTTTTTTTTATTCACGTTATTATGTTTTATTAATTATGATAAATTACTAAGTAACGCTTATGAAAAAAAGAAAGATAAATCATTTATAAAGACAACAACCGTTTGGTAAGACTCTCATTTATTACAAAATTACAAAAGAATCTTCCTACTGTTAACAGTTATCAATGTTTTAATCAAATATATTTATATTTTTCTGTTTTGTGTAATTACTCCATAATTTAAACGCGGTTTTCTAAATTTGTAAATGCATTGTATGTGTTAATACATTGTATATGTATATATATTTTCCATTTATAAATTAAAGTTGTTTCCAGTTACCCTTTGTTTGATATGTTTGGCAACAAATCTTCTTTTTTAGTGGAAGGGTGATGCAAGATTAGCATCAAACATGGGATGTTCCTATTGACTTTATTACACGGTATTCAACTAAACTTTAACACAAATAATCAAATATGTTATTATTGGATTATTATTAGTTAGAATTTGATTAGTTAATATATATTTCTCTGATTTCTTTCCCATTAAAGGCTGATTAGTTCTCACATTGACGTCAAAAACTAGGTGATGTTGAGTCTTTATAATTAATAATCCTAGAAAAAAAAACGTTCAGTAGAAAAAAAAAAACAGAGGAAGAAAGACAAAACGAAAGCTTCTTTCTCTTATCAATGGCCGATCATGGTCAAGCCAGTTTCTGGACACAGGCAAATGCGTTACTTAGGAAGAACTTAACTTACCAGGTATGTTTTTGTACATGTGATGATGTATGTGGAAAACACGATCCTTCTTTGTCCTCTTTGATGTAATAATTATGTCAATCTTTTTTGATGCAGAGGAAACACATATGGACAAACGTTAGACTCGTTCTGGTTCCACTCTTCCTTTGCTTACTTCTCTTGTCAATTCAACTCTTACTCGAGGCTGTGATGAACAAAGTCTCGGATATGACTAAATGTGGAAGTAAAGATGCTACCAATGGAGATTATTGTCCCATCCCAAACCCTCCTTTGTTACCTCCCATCTTACATGTTCCAGAGCCTGAGTCTCGTGCTGTTAAAACTGGTTTTTTGCCCTACAGTGACCTTCCTGACTTGTCCTGTAGAAAAACAGAATCTTGTCCTGTAACTATGCTTCTTACTGGGAACAATCAGTCTCTTGGTAAAGGTATATATAAATTATGTTTGTTAGTTGTTACCTTCCTTCTTTCATATTCATACATTATTATATTAAAATTATTATCTGCATGTGTGTTTCTTCCAGCCTTGTCTGGGACTATGTTTGGTGGTTCTTTTGCAGTGAATACCTCCGACCTCTTGCCTAGTTTAGCAGATAATGTCTTGGTGTGTTTTCCTTTTCTTTTCGTTGGAAAATTAAATGAAACACATCTCTATCTATATTTCTAAGATGTTTACTAAAAGGTCAATAAGCTTTCAGGGTACAACACTTGGAGCAGGGATGGACAATTTCAGAGAGCCAGGGATTGGCTCAGGTCTCCCCATCTACAGCATCCAATCTCAGTGCAGTGCAAACTCTACATGGCCACTCTCTTTAGGAAAAACCCGTACAGGTACTTAAATTTTGTGGAGTCCTCTTAAAGAATTGAGAGAATAAAATGAGAAATGCGATGATTAACTTAATGGTTTGTGTCAAAAAATATTCCAGAGGTGAAGTGTGTTCAAGGGTTATGCCTTTGGAGAAATACCTCTGCAGAGGTCAATGAGGAGCTTTTCAAGGGTAGTTGGAGGGGAAATCCTGAGCGGTTGACAAATGAGATTGCTGCAGGTTTTTGTTAAATTATTTTTCTATAAGTTATATGCATGCTTAGCATGTTTATTGCAAGGTTCTTAGAGTGGAGGTTCTTAGCGGAATTAAGAAACGGTCTCTTAACTTTCAACTAAAAAAAACTAAGAACTGTATTTAAGAGCCGGTTCTTAACTTTTTTAAAAGAGACCGTTTCTTAATTCCGTTAAGAATCCCCACTCTAAGAACCTTGTAATAAACATGTTTATCTATCTTGAATGTTGATTTATATATAATAATTGTCTTTTAGCATATGATCTCTTGACTACGGATGGAAAGAACTTGGATGTGACCATCTGGTATAATGCGACATATTACAGTGACGGTCCTCAAAACAAGCCTTTGGTCCGAGTTCCTCGCTTGATCAGTCTGGTATGAACTTACCACTCGTGGTATATACTCTATTTTGTTATATGTTTCTTATAATTAAACCTGTCACAACCTGTGAAAACTGCAGGTCTCAAGTGCTTATCTAAAGTTTCTGAAAGGCCCTGGGACAAAAATACTATTTGAGTTTGTCAAAGAAGTTCCTAAGCACTCTACTAAAAGCAATCCAGATATTGCATCCTTGTTTGGTCCACTTTTCTTCACTTGGGTTGTTCTTCTTCTATTCCCTGTAAGTTCTATATATTACAGTTAAATACTTATAAGCCATTACAAACAAACAAAAAAATCATCATCACAAATGTAATTTTGCAGGTGATCTTGACATCATTGGTGTATGAGAAACAAGAACGTCTAAGAATAATAATGAAAATGCATGGATTAGGAGACGGTCCATATTGGTTAATTTCATATGCCTATTTTCTCACCATATCAGTGTTGTACATTCTTTCTCTTGTGAGCTTTGGGTCAGTGATAGGACTTAACTACTTCCGGCTCAACTCTTATAGCATTCAGTTCGTTTTCTATTTCATCTACTTGAATCTGCAAATCTCCATTGCCTTTCTAGTTTCTTCAATGTTCTCAAAAGTTAAGACCGTTACAGGTAATAACCAACTTTTCATCACATTTCTTTTGAATCTGCTCTTTAAAGAGTAAAAAGTTCCAACGTCTTTTAAATGTAGTTGTTGCTTACATTATGGTGTTTGGAACTGGTCTCTTGGGAAACTTTCTCTTCGCACAGCTACTTGAATCTCCATCATTCCCCGGTGAGTTAAAACTATATCTCAAGAACACAGTAATACACATGTTTGTGACCACTTGTAATTAACTAGTGTATTTTGACCTAAAAACAGAGAAATGGATTCTTATCTTGGAGTTGTTTCCTGGATTTTCTTTATTCCGTGGATTGTATGAGTTTGCACAAGCTGCCTTCCATGGAAACGGGATGAAGTGGGGAGATCTAAGCGAAAGTGGAATGGATAAAGTGTTCTACATCATGTTGGTTGAATGGTTTGTGATTCTCATTGTGTCCTACTTTATCGATCAGGTGAAAAACCCTTGCTTTTTCATCAAGAAATCTACTTCCCTACCAAACCCTAGTGTACAGAGCCACCAAAGATCTGACAATAACAATGTCCTCGTTGACATGGAAAAAGAAGATGTCACTCATGAGGTATGTAACAAAATAATTTAAAAATATATAAAGTGGTATTGTTTCTTTTTCTGATTAAAATTTTGATTATAATCAGAGGGAGAAAGTTGAGCTAGTGAGGATAGAAGGGACCACAGGGCAAGCGATTGTGTGTGACAATTTAAAGAAAGTGTATCCAGGTAGAGATGGTAACCCACCAAAAATAGCAGTAAGAGGGATGTATCTCGACGTGCCTTCAGGGGAATGTTTTGGCATGCTTGGACCCAATGGTGCTGGCAAAACATCTTTCATCAATATGGTTAGTTCCTTCAAAACCCACAATGTTATTACACTGAATAACGTTTTTTTAATTTTTGATATGTTGCTCTTAGATGACTGGACTCTTGAAACCGACATCTGGAACTGCTTTGGTTCAAGGTTGGGACATAAGCAAGGATATGAACAAAGTATACACTAGCATGGGTGTATGCCCACAGCACGAGTAAAACACTCTTTTACAATACTATTCCATTTTTTTAATTACCAATGTAATGTTTTGATGTCATTTTCTTGATGTGTCAGCTTGCTATGGGAGACACTAACAGGAAGAGAGCATCTTCTCTTTTATGGGAGACTCAAGAATATCAAGGGCCCTGCTCTAAAGCAAGTATGTTTTAACAAACACTTTGTGATTATCTTATATGTGTTTATTACTCCACACGACCAATGTTAATTAATATGATTATTTTCAAGGCTGTGGAAGAGTCTCTCAAAAGTGTTAGCCTCTTTGATGGAGGGGTTGCTGACAAACCTGCTGGAAAATACAGTGGTGGTATGAAAAGGCGACTTAGTGTGGCCATTTCGCTTATTGGTAACCCTAAGGTACATCTCCTGGTCTCTCTTTTCATGTGATTTTGTTAGAAATATATCTCAAATTTAACTAAGTAATGTCCATTTTCTGATATGTTAAAAGGTTGTTTACATGGATGAGCCTAGCACTGGACTTGATCCAGCCTCAAGAAAGAACTTATGGACCGTGATCCAACGTGCAAAACAGAACACAGCCATAATCCTCACTAGTATACTCAATCTCTCTCTCTCTCTAGCTACTCTTCTACTTATGACTATTTTGTTTGTTAACCTAGCGTGTCCCTCACGTTTTTTTCAGCTCATTCAATGGAAGAAGCAGAGTTTCTCTGCGACCGGTTAGGGATTTTTGTTGACGGAGGCTTGCAGTGTATAGGAAACCCTAAAGAGCTAAAGGGAAGGTACGGTGGATCGTATGTCTTCACGATGACGACATCATCAGAACACGAGGAGACAGTAGAGAGAATGGTTCAAAGCATTTCACCAAACGCCAAGAAAGTGTATCAACTCTCAGGAACACAGAAGTTCGAGATCCCTAAGCAAGAAGTCATGATCTCAGATTTGTTTTTAATGGTGGAGAGTGCCAAAAGCAAGTTCACAGTTTTTGCTTGGGGACTTGCAGACACAACTCTCGAAGATGTCTTCTTCAAGGTTGCTACAAGTGCTCAAGCTTCCTTGTCTTAAATCTTCAAAATGATCCACTCTATTTAGGGGTATCAGTATTTTTTATTTTAGTTAGGGTTCTGTACTGTTAAATTTAATGTCTTGCGAGACACGTTTTCTACTCTGTTCCGGTTAGTACTTAAAAGTCATGAACTCTGGTTTGAATTTAATACTCCCTCCGTTTCTTTTTATATGATGTTTTATCTTAGTGCACAAAGATTAAGACATTTGCACTTTTCTACAAAGTAATTTCAAAGATATAGTTTTAAAATCATTCAATCAATTATAAAAAATATAGTAAAATTTTATTGGTAAAACAGTTTCCAACAAATTTAAAATAACTTTAAAATCTTAAAATATACCTTAAAATCTCAAAACATCTTATATTTTAAAACGTAATAAACATTTTACAACATCATATAAAAAGAAACGGAAGAAATAACTTTGTTTTAGTTACTAGGAGGTTCGGGCTGAAACCCTAATTCCCCAGACCGAAACCACAACATCTAATATTAGTTTCGTCCTAGCGGTTAAATTTAACAACATTTTAAAGGAGAAACCATTTAAAGAAAATCATAGTCCGTAACTAATGACCTCGTGATGTTAACTATACGTTCTTGATCGAACCCAAACACGCCTCCAACATTCACAACTCCAGGATTCTGGCTATTATAAAACGAGAGAGCAGTGGCTCGTTCAAAGCCACCACTCAAGCAGAAATGAAGCAACCCTTTAGGGAAGACAAAGACATCACCTCTACGCAGAACGGTCTGAAAAATCTTGTCGTTTGTATCTACAAAACCAGCAAACACGACACCAGTGACCACAAAGAGCAACTCTGATGACCTTGGATGCGAGTGGAGCGGCACTGATCCGTCTCTCTCGAGGTCAGTGCGTGAGACAGAGAGGCCGAGAGTGTTGAGACCTGGAAACTCTGATGCAGTGAGCATTGTGACGTTGGACTGAAGATAGTTGTCTGTGTCTCCAGCTATGGTAAGTTTGGTGGACTTGAAATCCTGAGCGTTGATCTTATCTGGATTCTTGCAAGGATAGCCGTTGATGAAGAAGTTGCTTTGTTCTCCTGGAGCCGTTGGACACGTGTCTTGCATGTTGTCTGAATCCGTAGAAACAGATAAGAAGATTGCACAAAACAAGATCAAGAAGAAGAGTTTCATCATTGTGAATAGTTTTGAAGAGTACTTAACATTGTAAACTTTCAGATATAAATAGAAAGCCAACAAAAAAAAACATTCTGTTTCTAGGTGTTATGTGGCTTAGAGTTGAGTACACTACTTAGTGGCTTTTTGAGTAAGATTATGTCCTAAGCTGAAAATCGCTTCTAAGTAATATTTTTCACTAATGTTCCAACTTACTGATGCTGACATTATTACTTTCTCAAGCTCTCTAATTGTATTTTGTTTACCTGAATAAACAATGTAGCTTTGCTATTACAGGCATGGCCGGCTTTGAGATTTTGGAGACATGTAGTAATTTTTATATAATTTTTTTTTTAACAAATTTAGAGCTTAAAAAAGTTTTTTATGGATTAATGTCTATGTAAATTTTTTCAAAAATTTTGGGGACCAGAAACCAAATAAGCTTCATAGGCTAATATAACTTAACTTTCATGGAGATTTCAGATATTCCAACAAATGAAAAGTACAGTACAATATAACCAAAATATTATACAATTGAAGGGGACACACAAGTTAAATGTCCAACAAAATACAGTTTGTCCAAGCTCTCATGAATATCTTGGATAAATTTTATGAAAGAGCATAGTCCACCCAAGAAATTATGGTCAATGACACCATTTCCATCAAGAACATGAGTAAAATCCACCAGCTTAACTTGTGCTCTTGCATCATCCCCTCCTTTCATCAAAACCGTTTCATTCTCATAAAACATAAAAACCGAGCAAGAATTGAAATGGTATAGCGTCTGAGTTTCAAACCAAGCCTTGAGCTCTAACAACTGCGCTAAGATGCCCTTAGAACCGCCAAAAACTTCTGACGCAAATGCGCAGTTTGGTAACGAGTCAGCTAGCGAGTTCGATGACACGAACTTCCTCAGAGCCAATCTAGCATCATCCACTTTGTACCTATGAACAACCTTGTACTCGACTATCCAAAACCTAGATTCTTGGTGGTCAAAAATCTTGAAACCAGCATGCCTAAACCCCAAGGAAACAGAGGTGGTCTCTCTATCATTCTTTAAACATTGTTTGAAGTACTGTTCGGATACACCAGGGTACCATGTCCTAGCTCCAATCTTTACATCCATCCCCGAGGGGGTTGAGTAACTTGAAACAACATCGTCAAGAACTATGTGTGGAAGCTTGCCAGATCCATTAGATGCTTCGAGTACTTGAGTGCCGTGATACACGGGGAAGTATCTACGGATGTGGTCTGGAACATTCTTGTTGGACGAGAAGGATTTGTAGAACTTATCCTCGCTTTCTCCACGACCATTACTCTGAAATGGCTTGAAGAATTGGCCTTCTCCGTCTACGAGCGGACCAAGCCTCCCATCTTTAGCCATGTGACCAGCAACTTGGTGTTCAGGGTCCTTGAGCATCTTCGTGTAGCTAGCAAACAGTATCTACCATGAATAATAAACCAGATTTTTTTTTAAAAAAAATAAAAAAATAAAAAAAAACCAGATTTCACCAGAAATTTTCTTAGTATCCTTTTATATCAAAACTTAATTGACAGATTATTTATCTAGAATCAATCTCAACTTCAAAGTCAAGTAGAAATCAAAGTCAACGATCTTTAAACTAAGCACTGAATCTCTGTTAATATATCTGTCGATCATTAAACTAAGGACTGAAACAGATTATATATTTCGATCATTAAAACTAAGCACTGAGTCTCTGTTAATTAAGTTGGAGAAAGATGAAGAACTTAGCGCAAAAGTAGAAGATTAATCAAAGGAATTAGCAACATTAAGGAAGAAAATATTACCAAAGAAAATCTTGACGGGGTACGAAAACAATGAGTCAATGATCAAAAACGAATGTGTAGTTGTTCTTATGTAGTCGTGTTTCAAAAAAAAAAAAAAAAAAAAAAAAAGTTGTTCTTATGTAGTCAATGATAAAATAAACAAAGACCAGATTTTTCTTTTTTTGTTCACTAAACAATGACCAGAAAAGCTTACCTATCTTGTCGGGACGACGAATAAATATTGTAATAATGAATAAAATATTTTTTTCATTATGAAATCGGTTCAAACATGTTCTCAATTTTGTAAAGGGAAAATGCTGAAATATAAAATTTATTGGCCGACCAAAAGAAAATAAAAGGCAATTTTTTTAAAAAAGAACAAAATCTTAGAATAACTTTCTATTCTAGTTCTCAAACATTTGTAAAGAGGAACTATTTTGGATCACGAATTTATGAAAATTTCAGTTTTTTTTTCTTAAATCATTTGATTGTATCTCTATAATATTATTTGAGAAGTCAGTTTCATACATGTCGCGCTCACGTTAACTCTCACGATGGTTGATTACATAGATACCCTTAATGAGATCAATAATGTATTTCCTTTTTTCATAATAAGATTTTACTTAATTTTTTAATATAAATTACTTTCTTAAAACACATAAATAAAAAAGGAAATATTTATGAAATATAAATCTTTATATATAAACGAAATTTAATAATATTTTCAAAATTTTCCTAAAATAACATGTTTAGTGTTTATTTAATTGATATTAATAATGTATTTCCTTTTCATAATAAGATTTTACGTAATTTTTAATATAAGTTTACTTTTTTAAAACACATAAATAAAAAAAAAAAGAAAATATTTATGAAATATAAACCTTTATATATAAAGGAAATTTAATTTTTTTCAAAATTTTCCGAAAATAACATGTTTAGTGTTTATTTAAGAAATATTAAAAAGTAAAGTAAAAATATTTTTTTAACAAAAATAAATATTTTGATCAAGTAATTTCAAAATCCTTTTAAACAGCATAGCACTATACACTATTAATGAAATGGAAATATAATATTTTATCATTGTTAAAAATTCTTTTTAATGTTATGTTTTTCTTTTGTTTGCGGAACTTAATATATAAATAATCAAAATACTCAAGTAAATCAACATGTATCCAATTATTAATTTATTAGAAAAATACTTGCATTAAGCGATAAATAAAACTAATATGATTTGATTTAATTAGAACAAAAATAATTATATTTTCATTTGAATTAGTAAATATATATAGCTCAATATACTCACAAAACAAGTAAAGGGAAGAATCTAACTTATATCCAAAATAAAAGATCTAACTACATCAAGAACATATAATTTTAGAATAATAATTATTTTATTTTTATACATATAGATTATAGGATGACTCAAAAATATCAATATATAAAAATAAATTATTAACCAATTATTATAATTCAGTTTTTTTTTTTGGAAAATTTATATATATGAATGAGACTTCAGAATATTATCGTTATATTCATTTATGTAATTTTGAATCAAAATTTTAGTTTATTTTTAATTTCATTATAAGCATAATATATATTAAATTATACATAATCTTAATAAAATATATTTACATATATAAGCTGATAACCAATCTAAATGAAATAATAATCAAAGTTTTAATATATTTAGAAGAAAAATATTATAGTTGAATTCAGAAAAATAGATGCAATCTAAAGTACACAAGTGTAAACAAATCGACTATTGACCAAAAAAACAACCAAACCGATTAAATATATCATCTCCCAAATCGTATGTATAATTAAAATAATATAATATAAGTTATACATATAAATTATAAACTAATTATAATTAAGAGTACATATCTACCTAAATTTATAAATTAGAATATGCCACAATATATTTACTTGATAAATATTTATACCCGTGCATAAGCACAGGAAAATCACCTAGTTGATTTATTATTTATAGAATGATCTCAAATTTAAAGTTATTAAACTAATCATTTATTTAATTTTTTTTGCAAAATTCTTGAAAAAATGAAATTTCCATGGTTTCAAGAATTTTGCAAAATGATTAAAGTTATTAAATTAATCAAATGAAAACTACCATAAAATTAATCATTTATTTTATTTAATATTCCTCAAATGAAAACTACAATACAGTGTACAATGGTTTGGTTCGGAGTTTATGTCCATATTATTATACAACTGAAAGGGACAAAAGTTTGTCCAAAACACAAAGGAAGAATTGGATATTCTTTGGGAACAATGAAGTAAACACGAATGATTCCTAGTGCCCATTTCCAAATCGATAAGTACCAGTTTCATCGCTCTTGTCCGAGCTCTCAAGTATATCTTGGATCAATTTTATGAAAGAGCAGAGTCCACCCAAGAAATTATGATCGATGACACCATTTCCATCAACAAAATGCGCAAAATCAATCAGCTTCACTTGTGCCCGCACAGCATCATCCCCTCCTTTCATCAAAACCGATTCATCATTCTCATAAAACATCAAAACCGAGCTAGAATTGAGATGGTAAAGCGTTTGAGTTTCAAACCAAGCCTTAAGCTCTAGCAACTGAGCTAATATCCCGTTAGAACCACCATAAACATCTGACGCGAATGCGCAGTCTGGTATCGAGTCAGCTAGCGAGTTCGAGGACACAAACTTCCTAAAAGCCAATCTAGCCTCATCGACGTTGTACCCATGAACAACCTTCTTGTCAGGCATCCAATAACTCGATTCTTGATGGTCAAAAATCTTAAAACCCGAAATCCTAAACCCTAAAGGAACCGAAGTGGTCCTTCTATCTTTCCTCATACATTTGTTGAAATACCTTTCCGATACATCCGGGTACCATGTTCTAGATCCAATCTTGGTATCCATTATCGTCGGCCTTAAATAATCCGAAACAACATCTTCAAGAACAACATGTGGAAGCTTGCCCGATCCATTAGATGCTTCGACTACTTGAATATCGTGATACGCAGGGAAATAACCATGGATATGATCTGGAGCTTTCTTGTTCGAGGAGAAGAACTTGTAAAACCTAGCCTCGTTCTCCCCACGAAAATCATGTTGAAATGGTTTGAAGAACCGGCCTTCGCCGTCTACGAGCGGACCAAGCCTCCCTTCTTTAGCAGAGTGGCCAGCTACTTGGTGTTCAGGGGCCTTGAGCTTCTTTGAGCAAAAGACAGGATACATGATGATAAATCTGAAGAATAAGAATATCAAATTTCACAAAGAAAAAAAAAGACACATTAGATCGAAACCAACCTTGGTTGATTCATTGATCAAGAAGCAATCATCAACTTCATAGTCAAGTTGAAATCAAAAGGAAGAAGATTAGATTAGATCCGAGGAACAAACAAGATCATGTCTGTTTAAATTTTCAACCTTAAACTTGAGATCTCAAAAAAGCGTATCAAAAGTCAACACTCTTTTTTGATCATTAAACTAAGCACTTAAACGGAGGTTCTAATGTTTAAACAAGTTGGAGAAAGAAAGATTAATCAAAGAAACAAAACAATCAACATTGAGGAAAGAAAATATTACCTTAAAAAAAAAGTCTCTTCCAGTACTGATGCCCAAGCAATGACCAAAGATCAAAAAACAAATGTGTAGTTGTTCCAGTTGTGTTCTTATGTAGTAAAAATAAACAATGACCAGATAACCGTCTTGTCGGGAAAACGAATAAATAAAGTAATAATGAAAAATCGTTTGAAACATGCCATAAAAAAAACGGTTGAAAACACTAAACCGGAATCGTGATAAGAAAATTATTAAAACCGGTTTAGCAAACCAGCTTAAATTATTAATTTTTTAATTCGGAAACCGGTTTAATGATATAGGGCTTCATCATCTAAAATAAAAGAACAAACTTTCAGTCTGTTAACAAATCAGCCGCCATCTCCTTTCCGTTACTCCGACCAGCGAAACTAGGGTTTGGTAATGAATTCTAATTTGAACTATACTCTTTGCTTATCTTTCTTTGTACTCATGAACCTGATTTTTTTTTTCTCTTTTACCAGAATCTTTGTGCTAAATGGGTCGTTTCAAGAACGTAAGTATATAAAAACATCGTTTCTCTGTTTTTTTTTTTTCTTTTCTTTTTCCATGTATTTACTATGTTTTTTCAATGGTTTATAGAATAAGAAGGGTAGGGTTAATGTAAAGCCTATCGCAATGAAGAAGAATCAACCTAACGTTGATCATGTAACTGGTGACAAGATCCCTAAAAGTTTTGTTTTTTCAAGAACCAAACTTCCTGGCTCTGTTAAACAGCTTCAGATGGATTTGAGGAAGCTCATGCTTCCCTACACTGCTCTCAGTTTAAAGGTTTTGTCTTTTATTTTTTATTTTTTTTTTGATATTGTGTGTTTTGAAAATTACTAATTGCAAAGTTGTGACCTTTTTCAGGAGAAGAAGAGGAACACATTAAGAGACTTTTTGAACGTATCAGGACCAATGGGTGTTACTCATTTCCTCATGCTTAAAAAGACAGCCTCTGCATTGTCTTTAAGAGTAGCAAGAACCCCTCAGGGACCTACTCTCAGTTTCAAAATTCATCAGTATTCGTTAGCTTCGGATATAGCTCAGTCTCAGCTTAGGCCTAGATGTCCTCCAGATCTTTTCAAGAATCCTCCTTTGGTAATATAAAACCTCTTTGTTTCCTTTTGTAATTTGTGATGGGTTTTGCTAACAGTTTATGATTATTGTTGTCTTTGTGTATTATAGATTGTTCTTTCTGGATTTGGTACTCAAGAGCTGCATCTGAAGCTAGCAACTATCATGTTTCAGAACATCTTCCCATCTATTGATATCAACACTGTTAGTTAGTTATATATATATATAAATCCTTTTTGTTTAGTGATTGTGTAATCTTGTTTCAGCAATTTTGATTTGGTTAATAATAATAATGTGACAGGTCAAGCTCTCTACATGCCAGAGATTAGTACTATTGAACTACAACAAAGACACGAAACTCATTGACTTCAGGCACTATTCAATAAGGCTTCAGCCTGTAGGAGTGTCTCGTAGGATTAGAAATTTTGTGCAGAATCATAAGGCTCCTGATCTTAGGAATCTACAGGATGTTAGTGATTTTATCACCAAGTAAGGATCAGAAATTTGATTGATATGAATGTGAAATGAAATCTTGTTTTGAGTGTTGGTGGTGGCTTTTTTTTCTTTTTTTCAAGGGCTGGTTATGGATCAGAGAGTGAAGGAGATGAGGAGGCGGCGACAGTGACATTATCATCTGATCTAGGGAGAGTTAACAAGGGTTCAACAAAGAGTGCTGTGAAGCTGCAAGAGATTGGACCGAGGATGACTATGCAGCTGGTTAAAGTGGAGGAAGGGTTGTGTTCAGGAGGAATCATATTTAGTGAATATGGTAAAATTATATTCTTGTTTAAATGTTGTCTATTATCACAGGAGGAATCATCTTTTGTTTATATATCTGTATTTTTTTTGCAGAAAATGTAGATGGTAAGAAAGGGAAGAATGAGCAAGAAGAAAGTGGTGATGAAGAAGATGATGCTAGTGAAGAAGGTGGTGAGGAGGAGGATAGTGAAGAAGGTGAAGAGGGTAGTGAAGAAGATGGAGAAGACATGGATGAAGATGTTGAAGAGTGAAAAGAATTTGTCTTTGAGTAACACTTCTGTATCTTCACATCAAGTTTTGTTTCTTTGGATGTTTTGAGTAATGATGGATGCATCTATTTGTCTGATTAAAATATGAACACAATCAATTACCTTCTAATTGAATGAGCCTGCAACCTTTTGAATTGAATGAAATGTTCATGAAAATTGAAATCAGTTTTTTTTTTTTTTTGCAAATTGTTTAGTACTCAGTTCATGATGCCGTTTGGTAAAAGACAATATCCACTTTTAGTGGTAACTTGTGTGTCTCTACGAATGTGTGTGCAGGTAAAAGTACAAAAGACACAAAGTACAATATGTTATTACTACGTCATTTGTGGTGAGGAATCTAACGGCTTTCCGTTTCGATTCATACGTATAGTGTGTATCTCTAAATTCGACACTCAAGATATTTTGTATTATGTCCCTGTATTTTACTTCTTTTCTAAAATTACCCCCTTGATTTGTATCTAAACAGAATTTAGCAGACATGCATTGTAACCGGGCAGAATCTGTGAGTAAAGAAACTTTGATCTGAAAACTGTTGTGGTTAGAAAGCGCAGTAAATTTTTATTGTGAATGGATTAGAAATGATACAGGTTTGTTCCCCCACCAGTTAGAATTTTGTGTTAATAAATAAAATTTAAAATGATACTTACAATCTTCAATAAATAAAAGAATTTTTTTTATAGTTGATTGTTTAAATTGTAACTGTAAAAATATTACTGTAGAATTTAATCTGTGTATTTTTTTGATATAATTTTAATTGATGTAGATGTAAAAGCTAAATTATTAAATAATATTCTTGTAACAAATATTTTTTTCTAACGCTCACTACATAGCGATTGGAAGGAACTATAACTTTATGTTTTTATCTGTAGAATTAAAGCTGTAGATTCTTTTTGTTGTACCTTTGTAAAATACTTATTTTTGCTTTAGAAATAAAACTTTCTACAACCACTTTTTAAATTTGTAGAGATATCTTAGCTATAAATTTTTTAAAGAAAGAAAAGTATGATTGGCTGAAATATACATCTCTGGACTAAATTTTGGCTGTCAAGAACATCTACAAACACAACCGATCATTCCCTACATATTACTTTACAAAATAGGATTTCTACAACAATTTTTTATTTGTCTACTCTAATTTTAAAAATAAAGCATGATTAATTAGTAACTTTTTATATTTGTAGAAAGAAATTAAAACTAAATACATTTGTTACATCCCAACCAATCATCTCTTTTAGATTAGGAAAAAAATAGAATTTGAAAAGTAAATAACAGAAATAAAATAAATAACTAATAAATAAATTCTGATTTATTTTCATCAAAACAAGCTATTTTTCGCAACCAAAAAAAACCCCAAATCTAAAGTATTAATGGGGCATTAAATGGTAAAATATTGAAAGTATGAGGGCTAACATAACATTCCACTTTATTTTTTTTATAATATCATGATGTCCTCGTGTCTGTTTATATAATGTTCCTCTGCATAATCTTCTTCTTCCTTCTTCTCAGCTCTCTCTCTCAATCTCTTTGAGATCCCTCTCTCTCTCTAACACAACTTGTCATTCCCCACTTTGTTTCATAACCTGAGATTGAATCATAAGAGAATTTTAAAGATAGATTCTCGTTACTGTTCCCTTCTTCTCCAGATCTAAGTTTTTCCCAATCCTCGGATCAATCCAGGTTCGTTGTTCATCGTAATCACCGTTAGATCTATCTGTTTTATTCTGATCCAAATTTGATGTTTTTAGGATTCAAACCTGATCTGTATTGCCATCGCGCGTTAGTGAGAAATCGTTTTTGATGCATGTTAATAAATCTACTTCGTGAATCAAAATTTTGTTTATTTATGTAATTCAATTTGTAATTAAGATTACCGATCTGATTTATAGGATTTTTCGAATTTGAATCCGTGTTTGTTGATTTTAATTTATTTGTATAAATTTATAATTCAGTTTGTAATTAAGACTACTATTTGCATCATGTTACAATGTAACAAAAAGTGTTTTTTTTTAATTGTGGTAAATGATTTAATTTTTGTTTTGGTTTTGTCCATTGCCACTTGTGAAGGTCTAATTAGGACAAGGAAACATGGCAGCAGCAAGTGAGAACCAGTGGCTTAAAGGGAGAGTGAAGGCTGTCACCTCCGGAGACTGCTTGGTCGTCACGGCTCTAACACACAACAGGGCTGGCCCACCTCCCGAGAAGACCATCACTCTCTCTTCTCTCCTCGCTCCTAAATTGGTGAGTGTGAGAGCCTTTTCTTTTCTCTTATTGGATTAAATAAAAATAAAGATCTTACAAATAGAGCCGTCCTGGACCAAGCCTGTTGAAACATTTGCCTCGGGTCTTGCCCAAAATTTTGAAAAAATTTATATGTACATAAACCCTCAAATATTTTATAGCTAAAATTTTTAAAAAATCGCCTAGGTTCCTAAAATCTCAGGACCGGCCCTACTTACAAAACATATCATATTTGCTTTTAGGTTTAGAATGTTAGCTTTACATGACTTTTTTTTTAACTTTAGGGTTTCTCTCATTGTTTGGTTTGTTGGTTGATTTTTCAGGCTCGTAGGGGAGGTATAGATGAGGCTTTTGCCTGGGAAAGCAGGGAATATCTGAGGAAGCTTTGCATTGGGAAGGTGCTTGCTAAGTTCAAACTTTTTGAATCTTTTATGCTATATGTTAGTAAGTGGCAATCTTCTTTATATTAACAGTTTTGTACATTGTTTTTACCTTGAGCAGGAGGTTACTTTCAAAGTGGATTACAAAGTGGAAGCTATTGGAAGAGAATTTGGCTCTGTTTACCTTGGCAACGAAAATCTTGCTAAGCTTGTTGTTCAAAATGGCTGGGCTAAGGTGATAAACCATTTCACTAGATAGCCTTGTTTACGGTGTGATGCTTTTTTTTTCTGATATGGTGGAGAAATGCATGTACTATCTATGGACAGGTCAGAGAGTCAGGTCAGCAGAATCAGGATAAGGTTAGTCCTTACATTGCTGAGCTGTTACAGCTTGAAGAGATGGCTAAGCAGGAAGGTTTTGGTCGTTGGAGCAAGGTTGGTATCTTCTCTGATTTTGGCTTCGTTACAAGAACAAACTTTTTGGATATTTTTAAGTTTCTTAACTATTGGGGATTATTTTTGTGTCTATCTCTGCGAGGTTCCTTTGGAAGTTGAATAATCTTATGTCTTGCTCTTATTTTATTTGATGGAATTTACTTGATCCAGGTTCCTGGTGCTGCTGAGGCATCTGTCAGGAGTCTTCCTCCTTCTGCTGTTGGGGATTCTGGGAATTTTGATGCCATGGGTCTTTTAGCCGCAAGTAAAGGCAAACCCATGGAAGCTATTGTTGAGCAAGTCCGTGATGGCAGTACCATCCGTGTTTATCTTCTTCCTGAATTTCAGTTTGTGCAAGTTTTCGTTGCTGGACTTCAGGTTTGTAAACTTGTTTCTTCCTCTTTTTTTTCTGTGTGACAAGTTTACATTTGAACTTCATGGTCTAAGTGTGCTGGATATACTTTATGTAGGCTCCATCAATGGGAAGGAGACCTACGCAAGAAACTGTTGTTGAGCCAGATGTTACATCAGCTACGAATGGAGATGGTTCTGCTGAGCCTCGTGGTCCTTTAACATCAGCCCAAAGACTCGCTGCTTCAGCAGTATCGTCTGTCGAGGCTTCCGCTGATCCGTTTGCAATGGAAGCCAAGTATTTTACTGAGCTTCGTGTACTTAACAGAGATGTAAGGAGGAACTTGCAACAAATTAATTCATATGGAACTATATTTGAAATTTTAGATGATCTAACTATGAGCTGGATTTTGCAGGTTCGCATTGTTCTTGAAGGTGTTGACAAGTTCAACAATCTGATTGGGTCAGTTTACTATTCTGTTGGGGAAGAAGTTAAAGACTTGGGTCTTGAGCTGGTTGAAAATGTACGTAGTCTTAAATTAAATGTTTAAGCTTCCTGCTACTTAATTTTCGTTGACCAATTTATTAGTTGGAAATTTTCTTCGTAGGCTTAGCACACCATTTCTGATATTTGAAATAACTGGAAAATATTGATAGTGTTGAATAAAAGTTATGACACTAGTTTCTGTTACTTTTGCTCAGGGTCTTGCTAAGTATGTTGAGTGGAGTGCCAACATGATGGAGGAAGAAGCCAAAAAGAAGTTAAAAGCTGCAGAACTTCAATGCAAGAAAAATCGTGTGAAAATGTGGGCAAACTATGTCCCTCCAGCTAGCAACTCGAAGGCAATTCATGACCAGAAATTTACCGGAAAGGTAAATAATTGCCTGCATAAAAATCTTGGTATATATATTACCTTTCCTCTTCATTTCATCAGTTCTTAGTTCTTACTAGTTTGTACTCTCTTCAGGTGGTGGAGGTTGTGAGTGGAGACTGCTTAGTAGTTGCTGATGATTCTATCCCATTCGGGAGCCCAATGGCAGAACGCCGAGTTTGTCTTTCGAGCATTAGGTCTCCCAAAATGGGTAACCCACGTAGAGAAGAGAAGCCTGCCCCTTATGCTCGGGAAGCAAGAGAGTTTCTAAGACAAAGGCTTATTGGAAAACAGGTATATATGTTTGGTGCCTTCTTACTTAAAAACATTATGTCGCAACAGGAGCAAGATCTCTGATTTCTTTTTTTTTTCCGGTGTAGGTTACCGTACAAATGGAATACTCAAGGAAGATTAGTCCAGCAGATGGTGTTACCACTTCTGGAGCTGGTGATAGGGTCATGGATTTTGGCTCAGTGTTCCTTCCTTCTCCCACCAAGGTTGATACACCTGAAGCAACTCCTGGAGTCAATATCGCGGAACTCATTATCGCTCGTGGCTTTGCTACTGTGGTTAGACACCGTGACTTTGAAGAGAGGTCAAACCATTACGAAGCTTTACTAGCTGCTGAAGCTCGTGCTATTGCGGGGAAGAAAGGAATTCAATCTGCAAAGGATTCTCCAGCTATGCACGTCACAGACCTCACTGTTGCCTCGGCCAAGAAGGCTAAAGATTTCCTTCCGTCTCTTCACAGAAGCAGGAGAATATCAGCGGTTGTGGAATATGTTCTGAGCGGACATAGGTTCAAGCTGTACATTCCAAAAGAAACGTGCAGTATTGCCTTTGCATTCTCTGGTGTCAGATGTCCTGGCCGTGGAGAACCTTATT